CAGGAATGCGGAGGCGTGTTACAAACCTCAATCCCGGCAGTCAGAAACATGACACCGGGATTGGAAAGACCTGAGCGCGGGCTGAGCCAGGGCTTGACCTGCCCAGGCTTCTCCTAAGGCTCAGCTCACAGCAAGGTCTTCGCGTCTCCGAGCACCGCCAGAACGGCTCCAAGGGGGGACGACAGGTAGAACGGCTCAATTTTTTTATCAAAGATGACCTTAAAACATTAAACATCTCCTGTCTGCCAACCTTTTTCTCCCCTCCTCCCCCTTTCTTTTTTTTTTTTTTTGCTAGACTTGCTCTAGATGAGGTTCGTCGCTGTCACACGTAAGAAAAGCTTCACAAAGACTGTGCAAACAATGCGTTTCCTCTTCTCCTAAAGCCCGTTTCCTTTACCAGCCTGATCCCACTGCGAAGCCACAATAGACTTGACCCGGAATCGTTGCCATAGCAAAGAAAACAAATGCCACAAACAAAGAAGATGGTTAATGGAGGGAGTAAATGATCAGCAAGATTGAAATGAAAGTCTTTTGGCAAAAGCAGGAGAGAAAGCTGCAGGCAGAGAGAGCGGCTGGAGGATCTCCTCCATCCTCGTCCCCTACACCATCCTCCCAGCATCTGGGTTCACAACCGCATCGCTGGGACTTTGTATATCCCAATGTATTATCAAAGAAATATAAATGGCAGCCTCCTTCTGAAATGAAAGGACAAAGTCCGTTTCCCGATGCTACCGAGCTCGGGGAAGAGGAGCACTTGGGGAGGGGACCCCAAGCCCTGCAGCAGAGCTGGACCAAGCCCCAGGAAAGAAATCCCCATCGCCCGGCAGCGTCAACACCCCGCACGCTGAGCGCCCTCCTTCCAGTGAGCTCATACCGTTGGCTTCTTGTTTACCCGTGCAACATTAAACAATTGTGTCATCCAGAATTAGCATTCCTCCAGCGCCCAGGCAGAAAGGTAGCCGTGTCAGACAGCACCCTGCTCTGCCTATAGCGCTTTCCCAAAGAAGGTAAACGTTTCAATTCCCTGTTTTGTTTGCATTTTTCTTCACCCTCTTCCTCTGACCATTCTGCACCATTTCAAAAAGCAGCTCTCTGGCGGGTACGTGCAAACGAGCAGTTTTCTCCCTGCAGCCCCAGAACTTGCATGACCAAGCAGCAGACAACTTTCTTCAGGGCCACCGTATCTAAATTCAGCTCCTTCCACCTCACACAACCCGAATCGTTGGCTGGACTAACCTCCAGACCTCCCTGCTGAAAAATCTGCCGCTTCTGAAGCAGCAGAGCACCCAGGCCTCCCCACGCACATCCCGCAAGGGGCCAAGAGCTGGGACAGGCCTGAAGTGTTATGGGGGTGGCTCGGTCTCTGCTGATCAGCTTCAGAGACGACCTCGCCTGCAGAGAGAACTTCCCAGACCAACTGTGGGACACCAGCCTGTTTTACTCACGGCGCTGAGAACTGCCAGCATTTATCTGCCTCTTGGAAAAAGCATCTCAGTCCAGCAAACGTGCAGCGTTGCGTGTGCACCAAGCAAAATCATAGTCTTTGGCACAGAAAACGCGTGTCAGGAAGGCTCACCTGTAATGTCCTTAAGTTCTGAGGCTCAACCCCCTGAGCTCCAGGCCTGGAGGGAAGCTTGGACAGTCCCTGCTGTCCCACGTGAGCAGGAGATGGCTGGACAATAGACGCCGCATTCTGGACAACTGGAGTCTAGATTGAGAGAAAATGAGAACTGCCATCAGTGCACGGGGCTGGGAAAGGAAATCCATCGACAGACCCGACGCGGACCAAGCCTCATCGATGCTACAGCAAATACTAACACTTCAGAGCTGCACGGATTTATCTTCTCAGCTGGCCCTGAGAGTAGGATGGGCTGTGGATTTGCTACAGACACACTTTGGTAAGAAATACCACACAGGAGGACAAACGTGGCATAAAGGAAGGTCCAAGAGCCGAGCAAATCTTTGTGTTTGCCTGCTAACAGGCTTCTGCGAGGCCAAGCCCCTTCCCCTTATCCCGCCCAGCCCCAAACGGTGCTGCTCAGAGCTTCACCTTCTGTACCACGTTCTCCTTTTGCAGCTGACTTTGCCTCAGTTTCTTCAGCAGGGCCGCATGTTCTGCAGCAGGCCAACTCTGGCCTCCCCCAGCCGTAGCTCATCCCGAAGCTGCTTGATCAGCTGCTGTCGCTCCTCTATGCTTTTACCCTACAAAAAAAGCAGAAAATCAGTCAAAACTCAAGCAGTTGAGACCTGCTGCTGTGCCTTGGTGGCAAGACAGCGTGAGGAAACTTTAATACAAGCAAGAATTTGTACCACAGATCACCAAGGATGCAAGAACTGGATCGTTGTGCCCAGAAGTTACCGCATGGCTGAGAAACCCCCTTAGCTCCCAAATCCTTCAGAAAAGCAGAAACCCCGTGCAGCAGAACGGCTCTCCGCTGGAGCAGCCGCCCGGGACAGCCGAGAAAGCCCTTACCTTAAACATTTCAAGATTTGCTGCCTTAAGTCTTTCCTCCATACGAGAGCTGGAACGGGGACTGGATGCCTCATTATCGGAGAGGACAATTATATCTGGCGAAGGGGTTAATCGTCCCCTGTCCTGGTCACTGCGCAACAGAAGGGAAAAAAAAAAAAAAGACAAGACTGAGCCACAACACTGAGACATCGGCAACAAATCCGGGAGCGGGACAAGCGCTCCCTCCACCACGGATGCGAACCGGAGCTCGGCACTGCTCCCCTCGCCTGCGGAGCCGACGAACACCAGCGGAGTGCCGGCCTTAGGACAGAAGCATCCTCCGCTCGTAGGAGGGAGAAGACTCCTTCAGAAACGTTTTCTTCACCAGGGGGAAAGGTGGGTTGCTTGAAGCGCAAGGTAAGCAAACGCGTGATGCAAACCCTGTCTGCGAGAGGCCCAGTCGGGTGTTAATAATGAGCCGTGTAGTGACTGAACAGGGAGACGCAACCGTAGCCAGGTGCTGAGATGAGAGGGACCAGGGCAGATACTCCGGCCCGGTGTTGTTCGTACTTACTCAGGAGGATCACCACGACGCTGGGGATGAGAACGGGCTAAGTCCCCCCAGTTAACAGAAATGTAAATACTCCAAGCCTGCCTCAATACAAATTGATTTTAAAAGGTCACTCCATAAAGGAAAATCTGAATAAATACCCTGCGTAGAGTCAAAAGATCCAATTGAACCGTGACCTAGAAATCAGTAAACGAAAGGAGCAGCAATGACAACAGCCTGTCGCTGGGAAAAAAAAATAAAAATTTAAAAAAAAAAAAAAATCAATGCCATAATCCAGCAGTATCCAAGCACCACACTGTTCGCAGTGGCATCATTCAGAGTAAGGAGACACTAATAAAAGCCCTCTGCTATCACCGATTTAACGTGATGGTGCTGGGAGAGCCTTGGAAAAATGCTAAATAGTCCAGTGGGAAGCGGTTGTAAAGGTGCCGGGCGCGCTGCCACCGAGGCAGACAGGTTTATCGTGCTCGGACTCACGGGAAGGTCTCTGCTGTGAGGCTGCGGAGGGGGAGGAGATGCGCAATTATCTTATCCAAAACTTTTCGCTTCGAACACCCAGGAGGAAGCACGGAGCCGAATCCCAGCTCCCAGGCTCGGCCGCTCCGAGGGCGGTGGGTCCGGAGAGGATGAAAAAAAAGAAGAAATCAAAGCCACGAAAGCTCTTGGCTGAGCCCAAAAGTGCCGGGGCATGGCTCTGCACGGTATTCGTGGGCGCGTTACTTCAGAGCCCTCAATAACCTCTTTGTGGGCCATCACACACTTACGGCGTCACATGGACGCGGTATCTGCTGATCAATAGATATCCTGTTCCTGCGGATCTCCTTTCAGCACCCCACGGACGCCGCCTGTGGGACCCAAACCAGGGGTTTTCCAGCTGCTGCTCCCTCTCTGGAGCAGAGGAGGCGGCTTCTCAGGTCGCCGGCGGCAGGAGGGTTTCCAGCGGAGTTTGTGGTCTGTCCCAGCAGCGCGGTCGGCAGAGAAGGTCCAGAGCATCCTATCGAGATAAAGTCAGCCCGCGCCAGTCCAGGCAAACCAGCCTGCATCCGAGGAGTTTTATGTTTAGCTGGCCAAGAGCAAGAGCTGCTTTTGGATGAGTCTTCCAACAGCTCGAGCGGCCCATTGCTCTCCCACGGCATTTTATCCGGCTCCTGCTGCAAGCTACCCAAGGTGCCGATCTCCCAACCACCCGTTAGGGCATGTCTGTACACGAAACCGCTCAGGAATAAACACGTCCTCGCGATGAAGCGGGTATCCCAGGTCGACTCGCAGCCACCATTCCCCAGAGTTTCAAATGTCAACAAATATTGCGATGACCAAGCGTTGGATAGGAGGCTCTCCGGTACGCACAGGATCGCACGTCAAAAATAAAATGCATCAGGCTTCAGCTGAGGGTCCCCTCCCTCATCAGCATCAGGGCTGCTCGCATGGACCCCACAAGCACCAAAACCAAGTCCCTTATTCCGCTGGAAGCCTCGGGATGCGCTTGCTTTGAGTAACAGCATCCCAAACTCTCGGACCAGAGAGACTGAAGGCAATCAAGCACTGAGCACAACAGCTTTTCTTGCTCCTCTTGCATCCGTGGCCACATCTCGGGCACACCCGGAGTAATAAAGCATCGGATTTGGGGTCAGGATTTTCCTAATCGCGGGCTGTCATTATGGCTGCTGGTGATTATTTTGCACGAGCATCCAGATACATCCAGGCTGTTTTATTTACATTCCATCAAGGGGAAAAAAGCAAAGCCAGCGTCAAAACCAGACAGGGGAAAACAGGGCCACCTGCAAAGAACTGCTGAATATGTCAGGGTTGTTTTATTTACTTTTGTCAAGGGAAGAGCACAATTACAACAAAATTACTGGAAGAAGAGCTACGCCGATGGCGCAGGAGGCAGGCAGAGGTGAGACGATGTGGACTCAATTATTTCAAAACTCACAACAGATTTTTTCTGCCTCTTTTTAAGGCTGATTTCTTTTCAATCACAGTTAGTGATTCAAGTGTCCGCATCCGATGTTGGTATCTAACTGGATTCCCCACGTCTTGCACAATATTCAAGCAAGTCAGCTGAGCACGCAGCCCTCCGCAGCGCCCGACACTCGCCTCCCAGCTTTTCGGGGAGAAGACGACCTGCACAGTAACTTACCCAGAGCCAGGGTTATTCCTACAGCATTTAACGCCTCAAGAGCTTAAACCCATTTGCCAAGTGGCTGAGCATTACCCGTGTTGTCTCACCCACAGGGGTTTTTGGGAGAATTGCACTTTTCAGAGGTGCAACACCCCGATGATGCACTCGGAGCAGGACACGAGCAAAGCCCGGGCGCCTACCGAGGGTGCTGCTCGCACCCCAATGCTCCCGCGAGCGTAGGTAAAACCCTGTGGTACACAACAATAACGTCTCTGCCTCACCGCATGCAGTTCTTCAGATTTTATGGGAGGCTGAACCAGCGGCAGAGGCGACTGGGCAGATTTAAGCCACATATATTGTCATTAAAGAAAAATAATCCAGGTGGTTTTCTCCTTCCCACCTCTGGCTCTCCAGGTCTGTTCACCACTTCTGACACTTCAGCCAGGGTGTGACAGATAAGAAAGTGCCTGTGAAGGCATTAGTCTTTATAATATTTACTGTACTGGCAGCACCAAGAAGGGGCTTGAAGCGTTGAGATCCCCTGCCTTCAAATCCCCTGTCCATCACCTGCGCACCAGCCCCCGCTGGGGCAGGAGCCCCCCAGAAGCACGGGCAGCACCTCCTCGTTATCCAAAAGCCACCACCGACACAAAAAGACCCCGATATGACGCATGAATGAAGACAAACAATCCCGGTTTTGCTCAATCATGATCCTGGTTCCTCGATGAAGAGGGAGAGTGAGACTGGAGAACGCTGGCAAGGCACCCCGTCAGGAGGAGGGCTCACCCTGCCCTCGCACCTTCCTGCTGGAGCAGCCAAACTTCCCGCACGTCCACACGCAAAGACGTACTCAACCAGCTGGGACACCGGCATCTCTCCCCCGGCCCGTGAACGCAGCTCCTGTCGTTGCAGGCTGCAGCTTTGCACAGGAATTACAACCGTCTCCTTCAAACACGCTTCAACTGCGAATACCTGGCTCCTGAGCAAGGTGCAGTTGTTTATCTGAAGCACCAAGAAACCAGAGACTCACAGAATGGTTTGGGTTGGAAGGGACCTCCAAAGGCCATCCAGTCCATCCCCCTGCCACGAGCAGGACATCTTCACCCAGACCAGGCTGCTCAGAGCCCCGTCCAACCTGGCCTCGAACATCTCCAGGGATGGGGCACCCACCGCCTCTCTGGGCACCTGTACCAGCGTCTCACCACCCTCAGTGTGAAAAATTTCTTCCTTCTGTCCAGTCTGAATCCACCCTCTTTTAGTTAAAACCATCCCCCCTTGTCCTGTCGCTACTGGCCCTGCTAAAAAGCCTGTCCCCATCTTTCTTATAAGCACTGAGAGGCGGCAGTGAGGTCTCCCCGCAGCCTCCTCCTCTCCAGGCTGAGCACCCCCAGCTCTCAGCCTGTCCCCACAGCAGAGCTGGGCCACCCTCGGAGCATTTCAGTGGCCTCCCCTGGCCCCGCTCCCGCAGCCCCATGTCCTTCCCGTGCTGAGGACCCCCGAGCTGGATGCAGGGCTCCGGAGGGGTCTCCCCAGAGCGGAGCAGAGGGGCAGAATCCCCCCCTCGCCCCGCTGCGGGTGAGGCAGCCCATGATATGGTTGGGTTTTTGGGCTGCAAGTGCACATTGCTGGCTCACGTCCAGTTTTTCATTGACCAAAACATCACAGGAAGGTCTCGGCACTTTGCACCTACTTAAACCAGGACTCCTCCGTCCTGCTCCTCAGCCTGTCAGCCAAGCCTGCGCTGGCTCAGCATCCAAATCAAGCCAAAAAGTCAAAATCGTTAACGTTTGTTTCCTTCTCCCTCCCAAGAAAGCTGAAATAAGAACAGAGGCGGGATGCACCGGTGCTGCGCAGCACACGGGCTCTCATGCGCGACCCTCCAACTCCCCCACGCAGAACCTGGCCGCAGGTGTCGGCTGCGGAGGTTGAGTTGCCGGAGTTCACCGATGATAAAAATCAGGTGTGCGCACACTGCGCATACGGAGAGCATGAAGAACACCAAAGCTTCTCCTGAAAAAGAGACACAGCTCACCAGCACTCGATCGCTCAAGCAACCGCTTCTCACGAGCGGTCTCAG